ATTTTAGGGGTGGGGATGTTGGAACAAGTGAGTGAAAGGCGGTGGGATGGGGGTTGCTGGGTAAAACAATAGCAAACAACAGGACAGTGATCAATACTAATTGACAAGCTGCTTTGAGTTACTGGCTTTGTTTTAAAAAAAGCAGCGAGAAGATAATAACATAACACCTCGTGGCACGCTGTAATCTCAAAAGACGTAGCATTCTCTTATCGACCACGATATGAGTTACTATTTTCAGGACATGTTGCCAGTTTCAATTTTTACCCTGATATACACTCCCACACCTACCCCCTCCCCAATCCAATCCCTTCCGTAAAACAAGATAAGACCTTCCGTCCACCCTCGTTCCACCAAAGCTGGTTGTCTCTGTCTATTTCCATTTTCAGATTTTCAGTGAAACCAATATTTATGGCCGGGGGGGGGGGGGGGGGGTAAAAGGGGTGGGAGTGGTGCTATACACACATCAGTTAAATTATGATCAAGGCTGCAACAGAAAACAACAGTTCAAAAACAGTTTCCTTCATTTTGCACATATGTATTTTGAAGACACCAGTCTATGGTGAGTGGGGGAAAATACGAAAAACAAGTCTGGAAAAAAAATAAAGAGAAACAACCCGTCCCACTTTCTGGAGCATCGTTGTTTTTAATGTACAAGGTGATACAATAACAATAAGCATCGATCACCCGACCAAGCGCCTTCCCTCTGCATTGTCAGGGATTTTTCGCATCGTTTACAGCATCGTTAATGCTTGGGGACATTCTCTCTGTCTCTGAGGGCCCTACTTTTTTTTTTTTTTTTTTTTTTTTTTTTTTTTTTTTTTTGCTTGCCAGGTCACGATGCCCTTCGTACTATTAATACCTGTTTTGTCTGCGATTCTGATATCAAAGTCTGACAGTCTGGCACGATACGCGCTTGGTTTGTTTCAACGTGCATGGGGCGGGGCAACTTTCCAGATTTCTATTGTATCTTTGATAGGTCAGGTTATGCTGAGCCGAAAAAGAATTATAACCAGATAGGGCGACTTCCTCTGTAGGAAGCCAGCCAAAATATTAACCGTGTTTGGCAGTGTACGCCAAGGACTATAGTGCGTTATAGTTTCTCTAAGCACGAGGACATTTGCATAAAAGGAGGTGACATTCTTTCCTGGATGTCTGTGTTTGTTTATTTGAACTGCCTTTCAAGCTCGTTGCAAAACAATCCCACCAATTTAAGCGACGAGTCCTTCAAATCACACCAGCCCCCCCCCCCCCCCCCCGGACCCTCTCACCCTCTTTCATAGAGCATATGGAGTAGCACAAAGAAACTGCTGAAGAGCCGGAACCCGAACCAAATAAAGCTACAGCCCAGCGCAACGTCTATGACGAATTCACAAACACTTAAAAATCAGCAGAACAAAAGCAACACCAGAAATAAACTACTAGGCAAGCACAGAGCATCACGATAACTAAACAAAAAGATTCAAGAAAAAAATATTCATGACAGAGAGAAATTGGGAGAAATAGGACCTTAATGCGCGCTGACTCGTTGAAAATTCGTGTTAAAAGGGCAATCTTGGAAACATAATAAGTAGAACGCGTAAAATAAGCATCTTGTTACCGGCGTGTCAAAATCTATTTGAATTTTGTTCTGTTTTTTGCGTCTAAATTTTCGTGCTCCTGTTATGCTCTGTAAATTGCATGGAGCTGGTGTCTCAAGTTGTATCATTTTGAATACTGTATGTGGTATATTTAAACCTCCTATGCAAAAGGTTCTACGTGAAAGAATATAATATGAACAAAGAAGAAAAAAATAGAAATCGCAGAAGAAGATAAAAAAAAAGGGAAATTTCAGTAGAGCGGAGGAGAAAATCAATCTTTCAATACGCTGTAGTCGTTTTGCAGTGCTTCTGTCCCCCATCAACATAAAATCATCTGCTAGAGAAATCACCATCTTTGCTTGCACAACGACTGGATCCCCACGATTAGTTACAACATACACACAGCTGAACCAAATTACGGTGGCAACGATTTGCGTTAAACAAAAACTAAACAGTATATCAAAATATGTGCTCTCCACCGAAATCAAGATTTACAGCTCGCTTATCGTAGAATGGCAACGCTGAAAAGTTTCACCAGCTGTTCTACGTATTATCCTTCCTTCCTACCGCACACCCTAGGGAAGGAGAGACGTGAGGGTGATGAGGTATACTTGGTTGATAGTACAGGATCATGATACAGAGGAGACGAAAACAGAGATTGGAGAGAGAGAGAGATAGATAGATAGAGAGATAGATAGATAGATAGATAGATAGATAGATAGATAGATAGATAGATAGATAGATAGAGAGAGAGAGAGAGAGAGAGAGAGAGAGAGAGAGAGGGGAGAGAGAGAGAGAGGGGGGGGGGGGAGAGTAAAGAGACCGCGGGAGGGGGGGGGTAGAAGCAAAGTAACAAGACACGGTCTTATTTTACACCTGCACAACAAGAGGAGTGACTAAGAGACAGAAAGAGGGAGAGAGAGAGAGAGAGAGAGAGAGAG